AACAGTGTGAATGCGTGGGTGGGTGCGTGGGTGGGCAAAACTTCAAAAACCCTCTTAGCAGCCTTCCGCGAAAAATTTGGAAAATTTTAGGACCGGTTGCAAGAAGATCGGTCCACAAATGCAGAAGGAATTCGCGGTGAAACAAAGAAACAGTGTGAATGCGTGGGTGGGTGCGTGGGTGAGCAAAGCAGCCTCCTCCTAAAAATTTGGAAAATTTTAAGACCGGTTGCAAGAAGATCGGTCCACAAATGCAGGAGGAGTTCCCGGTGAAACCAAAAACACATTTTGAATGCGTGGGTGGGTGCATGGGTGGACAAAACTTGAAAAAAAACCCCATCGTAACAATCCCCGAACGGTTCTGCCGGTGGCGCAGGCGGCGGGTTGACCAGGCTGGCCCTTGGAGGCCTAGGCGCAGGGGTGATTGGAGGGCGCGGAGCCCACGCTCTGACCGGGCAAGGGTCCGGTGGCCTGTATGGTGGTGGGAGGTAAATGAGAGATATATTAATCTTCGTAAACGATAGTAGCAATTAATGTGCTATTTTACGTAGAAAGATCATATTAATATTGTATAAAACATATGCAGTTCATGTTCTCACCATCGGGCACACATCCAATTGCTTCCCGCATAATTGTGTTACGCTTCCTCTTAGATCTTCAGCAAATTTATAAATCCTGGATACTGGATCCTTTACAAGCCGAAGAATTTCTGGAGGTCCTGAGGTTAAGCACGTTTCAGGATATACGAAAACGCTCGACTCGAAGGAGAACTTGATATCGTAAAATAAGAGTCCTTCCATATAATCTGGTAATATGTACCCGTGCTAAAATAACGAGATTAATTGCACCTTATATAGTTTACAAATTATATTTGACGATTAGTAATATAAAACATATAACTTCAGCAAGTCTACTTTCGAAGAGTTCAATTATTCTTTGTACGTAGCTAATTTTTATCTCAGCAGGACTAGCAATGCAATTAATGTTAAATGAAGAAAATTGAGCTGAGAAGACATTAATTTTAATGAGTTTTTTTATATAATAGATTTATACCATATTTTCCCAATACGCCCGCAGATTTTCGTAATCCTTGTACAAGTGGTTTTCTTTAATTTCTGTCGACGTACTCAATACGTTCGCCATTTTCAAGCTACAGATATTTATGAAATTATTAATAACTGGATTTAAGTGATGATATTATAAAGTAATCAATATATTTGTTAGTTTTTAGTAATTACAATATAAAGACTGGCCCAGAATTTATTTTGCAACAGCAATTTACACATTAACGAAATTCTTAGAATCTTCACAATTATTTTTCACCTCGGTAGGACGCGTACTTGTGGCTGCACGTCATGTTGCAAAGAACGCGTAGTATTCAGTCTTAAGAATGGTATTTTAAGATTTACAGCTTCCACTTGAAGCTGAGCGCTGTTATCTGCAATATTTATCTTTTCTTAAGTTCTATTTTGCCGTAGAAAATCAATATGCTTAAAGCATTTGTGAATTTGCATAAAATTTTTAAACGAATTTGTTGGCTACAGAATAAAATATTTCTAAACGCAAAGAGCACGTTGTAGATCAGGCTTTACCATCTGTTTGGCCCCTTACAACCTGAATCTTTTGCTAGCCTTCTAAATTATTCTTCACGCTAAAGAAATTCCTCTTGATATATGCATACGCAAAACTGTATATCTAAAGACCTGTATCCACGATGCTAGAACTTCATTGACTACATATTTTTCGAAGCTAGAACTTGGACCAAGTTCTAGCATCGTGGACACAGGCCTTAACGCTATAGTTAGTTAAAAATCGGACTTCGTACCGCGGATGCCTTTCATGTTTAGCGAGATCGCATTGACGCTTCCCGTCGAGCTGAGAAAATCTCGTCCCTCGACGAGGTATTGCCCGACTTTGTTCCACTGCGGTGCCAGCTTATGCTCCACCGTGTAAAGTAGGCACGTCTTGTAAACGTGAGTCGGCATTGGGTCGAGTAGATTCATCTGCGCAACATTCGCACATCGAGATCAACGAACGAGGTCAGCCTCGCCAGAGATATTACGCACTTCGCGTGTTTTTGATCACATACCACCTGTATGTTGAGGGCGTCACAGTGGTCCCGGAAGGTGCAGCTCTCGAAAAAGTCCTTGGCGACGATGACGTAAAGGGAACCGCCGGTCCCGAGGAGTTTTCGATTAACTATCGGCGCGGCCATCGCGTGAGGGGTCTCTCGGAGAAATTGCCTGCAAGCCGAAACGTTTCCTCTATGAAATCGAAGGTGAACTCGTTGGCAATCCGAGGCTCACTTTAATCCGCGAGATGCGCTACAACGACATTTAACAATCGTTGTTTTACCTACCGACACTTGAGCTTGTTCTCGCAGTACTTGGAATAGGTGGGATTGTTTTCGGAATTCACGATTTTGCAGATCGCGCAGCAGAGATCATCCTTCTGCGGTACGGTGACGTTGAAGATTTTCGCGGTGGAGACCATACTTAATTAGCTCTCGATCAGATGACGCAGAAAATGAGATGGTCTCACGAGGGAACACGAAGCCCGTGTGCGAGGAGACGAAACGCTATCCGTGGGTTATTTCTAGAAATTTGAGACAGACTAATGGATGAGATGACAAGATGAGCGATTCATTAACTGCGTCAATCGCAAACAATCTGCAAAAATTCAAAATAAAAAATTAATCCACTCGCGTCAACTTTTCGCGGTTTTTTACTAGTTTCTAAAATGTCATTTAAAGTGTGTAACTTTTTATATTTGAGGTAAAAATTTTTTTAGTCAGCGAGAACTCTTCGAAATAAATGCAATAACGGTATAAATCACTCAGAACTATTGTATCTCAAAATAAAATTTGCAAAGATTTTTCTTATTTTTTTAATTAACCGAAAAAATTTTTTATGTATCAGGAACTCTAGATAATCGCAAAAAGAAGCTATTAGACCATTCAGAACTATTCGATCGCAAATTTCGATAAGAAGTTGGCACCCGATTTTTTAAATTTTAATTTCTGATCGTTAATCAGCAGAACTCTTTTTATAAAGTATTGGGAACTCTTAAACTCTTCAAAAAGAAGCGGGAACTTCAGTCAGAACTACAACAAAATTTTTAAGTTGGGGAGCAAAGTTAACACACGCGTGTAGGGTACTAACAATGAGTTGAAAGATGTACTCACAGCGCAGAGTGGTTTCTTGAAAGCGAATGAAAGAAGAAAACAACCAAGTATATCGCAGAAGAAGACTTTTATATATATCCCCTCCATAATTTTCTTACACATCTGAGCTGTGTATTGAAAATTGAAACAGGGAAGTGTTTTTATCACGAGACAATCTTAATAAATAGATAAGTAACAAATAAATCCGTTCGGTCTCTCATAAATCAGATTATTGGTTTTCCGCATACTTATTGTATTTTCATTCGGGGATAATAATTGATTATGATGATCAGATAACGATAAGACAAGAAAATTATCTATCGGATGATCCATCATTAAATTGTGACTTAACTGACTTGAAGTTGAAAGGATATTTCACCGTTATTATTGAAATAAATTTGATATTTGATTAACATGTTATGAACGTGATTTAAACAATATTGAAAAAAGTAGTAAATAAGAATACAGACTAATTCTATTAGTACTTACTTTTACTATTGTCATATTTGAAGTTTCTTGTTAAATTTAATTTATATCAAAATAAAATTGTTATTAAAATTTTATTATAATACTTCTAATAAAATTTATTAATTTTATATACGTTAGGTGATTGTCATTGTGTTAGCGGATATCCTTGTTTAAAACTTATTAATGAAAACTTCTTTCTAAAGTACAAAACAATCTATTTATAAACTTATATGTATATTTTACATATATTTTCGAACATCACATCTCACTTTATAGAAACCATTTTTCGTTGCAGATTTTATTATTTTGTGATAAAAAGGATATACGATTAATAGCATTATTCATTAATTAATTGCAATGTAATATTTGTTACAATATTTGATACAATGTATCTATATCAATAAAAATCAAGTCACCAACAAGATCGCATCTGCAGCAAAATTTTTCTTATCAAAGACGTATTATGAATTCACGCAGATTATAATGGATTATATGTTCATCGCAATGATTGATATCATACGGATTAACACTTCATTAAACGAGTATAAAATGCAGTCTGTTCGTTGGATCGACATCAATCAGCAAAATGTTTCCCAAAACAATCGTGTGCTTTGCTCTCTTGGCAGTGGCAATCGCTGGTAAGTCAATTTTCTTGATTTATACGATATATATAGTTTACACAAATACTTACATTATATTGAAAAAATAAATTCCAAAGTGTAAAAAATAAGAAATACTCTTAAACAATTTAAAAGATACATCACAATTAAATTATTGTATCATTTTGTGGATCGAGAGAGAGAGAGAAGATTTAAATTTTTTCTTATTATATTATTATGGATTTTTCACAATTAGAATTCATTGAACTATCTTTAATATGTTACAATTAACTTCACATGCAATAAATATATATTTTTATATATTTTTAATTCAAATTTTAGAGAGGCCACGAATCGGTCTCCGGTTGCCGTCGATCTTCCCGCCTATTTCTTCTCAAGTGGTCGGTGGAACAGAGGCACCCAAAAATGGATACCCGTTCATAGTTTCCCTGCAAGCGCTCAACCAGCACTTTTGCGCTGGATCCATCTACAACGAACAATGGGTCATAACAGCAGGGCACTGCGTTCAGGCACTTCCCTCTATAGATCTTCTTAGCATTAAGGCTGGAAAACACGATATTCGGACTGTGGAGGACAGTGAACAGACGGTAAAAGTGGTGAAAGCTTTCGTACACGAAAGTTATTCAGGGTAAGCGAAACGTTGAAGAGCAATAAGTACGAACAATATAATTAGATTTCATTCCAATCAATATTCGGCCAATATATAATGATATTTAACACAGTTTGCAATTGATAAATACATATTTGTATCGGTATACACATTTTATTTTTTCAGAGGTGTTGCCCCATATGACATTGGTTTACTAAAGCTTGCGACTCCGTTGAAGTTGAATAAGCAAGTACAACCAGTCCAATTGGCTGAACCGGAAAGTGAACCAACTGGAGAGGCATGGCTCTGTGGATGGGGCTCCACCTCGACTAGCCCTTTCCCGGAAATGCCGGATAAACTTCAGCATGTCCGGATGGAGTACGTCGATCGCACTACTTGTCACGATTCTATCGAGCGCTTGACGGGATCAGCCCCTGTTCATGAAACCAATGTCTGCACTGGACCGATGTACGATCAAATCTCCGCATGCAGCGTAAGTGCCAGTACATTAAATTCAACGAGTGATCGTAGTACCGTTTATTAACACGTAGATTTAACGTAATAAGATCCGTAATATATTTTTAGGGTGATTCGGGCGGACCTTTAATTTCGCGCAATGGACCAAAAGCGGTGCAAACTGGAATAGTATCTTGGGGTATTGTTCCATGCGGTAGTTACGGCGCGCCGTCGGTATACACTAAAATATCAAAATTCAATGATTGGATTGAAAAGAAAGTCAATAAATATTAATAACGGCAATAGTGACGACGTATCAATGAATACTGACGACGAATTATTATATGTTATTCAATAATCAATAAATATCCAGCATAACTAAACAATGTATTTTATTCCGAGCCTACCTATGAAATAAAAAGTATAGAAATTTGATTGGATAACGAAAGCATTTGTAGCAAAATGTGTTGCTTTCATGTTTTTATTTGATTTGAGATTAACATAAATACACATTTCTTCCATGTAATTTGGTTAAATACAGTTGTTCATATTATGCACAGAGTTAGAAGGTGTACAGAAATATTCGCAGAAAGAGGAGCCTTCATGCACATCCCCTCCATAATTATTTTATTCCTAATCTATACTATTGTGTATTTATTGGAATTTGAAACCGGGAAGTCCGTATTAATCACAGACAATCTTGATAAATAAATAAATTAAAAATAAATCTATCGGTTCTATCGTAAATCAGATTACAGATTTTCCGCGTGTTCTTTATCCTTTTATTGCGGGATAATTATAATTAATAATAATCAGATAAAACGATATACAAGAAGCTTATCTGAATCATCTATCGCAATTTAATTACAGCTTAATTAATTAAAGCTAAAAGAATCTTTCACTGTTACTTCTTAATAACTTTTGTTTGTCTAGCAAGTTAAAACCGTATCTTAAATAATATCGAAAGAAATTAATAAAAAGATAGATTAATCCTATTAATTGTGTACTTTATTATTATTATATTTATGGTTTCTGTAACATTTAATTTATTTCAAATTTATGACTATTCTTAAAATTTTTGACTATATTATTTGACTATACTATATTATAGACTATACATGTATATGACTATATTAAAATATTTCTGAGTTGTTTTATTAATATTTATATACGTTTTCTAGTATTATTGTTTAGGGGATTCTTGTTCAATTAATTGATGACTTTTTTCTAACAAGGATTGACTATAATATGTAAATTAATGAATTAAATTTAATACGAAAGTGAAAATGTAATTTTCTGTCTTTATTAAACTATGGATGTATGTATTTGCACATTTAATATCAGTGTATTTAATATTATATGTATAAGCTATTTCTCGTCGCAGAATTTCTATAGAATTTATCGTATTACGATATACAATACTCGAGACTAATTAAAGTATTGTTCATTTAAATTAGATGCGACGTGCTAATTATCCAATTTTATAATTTATATCAATATCTCAGGTCACAAAGAAGATCATGTCTGCAATAAAGTCTTCTTTATCGTAGATGTTCTATGAATTCTTGTAGATTAGAATGAACTTGCATTGTTCTTCTTGCACTATCATTGCATTGTCATCGTTGGGATCATAACAATGTACTCCACAAAACGGGTATAAAAAGCGAATAATTTGTTGCATTGACATCAATCAGCAAAATGATTTTCAAGGAGATCGTACTGTTTGCTCTCTTAGCAGTGGCAATCGCCGGTAAGTCATTATTCTTCATTTATATAAAATACACATTAAGTTACGTTTAAAACACTGAACACTAAAACAATGCAAAAACTACTTTTATTTATCAATCTCAAATGTATTAAGCAAATAATAAGTAAATCATATTCCATGTATCACGAAGTAAGAGAGAAAGTAGCAAGATTTAATTTTTATTATATTACTACATGTTCTAATCGTATTTCATAGAAATATTTTTGATGTGCTACAAACAATTTCTTTTGTGACAATTTTATTTTTAAAAATGTCATTAATTGAAATTTTAGAGAGGCCCCGAGTCGGCCTCCGGATACCACCGATCATCCCCTTTTCCCCTCAAGTGGTCGGAGGTGAAGAGGCACCCGAAGGTGGATATCCGTTCATAGTTTCCCTACAAATGTATTCTCAGCACTTCTGCGCCGGATCTATCTTGAACGAAAGATGGATCATGACTGCAGGACACTGCGTTGATGCAGTTCCTTCTGTAGATTATCTTGTTGTCAAGGCTGGAAAACACAATATTCAGACTGTAGAGAGCAGCGAACAGAAGGTCGAAGTGGAGCGAATGATAATTCATCAAAGCTATAAAGGGTAAGTCAAACGTTGAAATGCAATAAATACAAACAATTTAATTAGTTTCCATTCAGAATAATATTCGTTTAGTACATAAATAATATAAATGTATCTTTTAATTATTTCATTAACAATTTGGAACATAATGATTTTTGCACGAAACATCAGCGATTCAATTTTCACCACAAGTGTTAAAGATTTGTAGTTATAAATAAAACCGATGTAATTTTATATTTATATCGAAATATATTTTCTAATTTTCAGTGGTGTCGGTCCATATGACATTGGTCTGCTTAAACTTGCATCTCCATTGAAGCTGAATGAGCGAGTGCAGGCTGTCAACTTACCACCAGCGGAAAGTGAACCACAAGGAGAGGCCCATCTCTCTGGATGGGGCTCTACCTCGACTACCAGCGTCCCCAGTATGCCGGCAAAACTTCAGCATGTTGAGATGGAATACGTCGATCGAGCTACTTGCCACGAGGCCGTCAAGCGATTGACGGGTTCATCCCCCGTTCATGAAACTAACGTCTGCACCGGGCCATTGCACGATCAAATCTCCGCATGCAGCGTAAGTTCAAGACATTTAATAAATGTAACAAATAATAAAAAACCGTCTATTAACGTTGCGATTAAATATATCTAATTTTAAATACACTTTTAGGGTGATTCCGGTGGCCCTCTAATCTCATACGATGGAGATGGAAAACCAGTGCAGACTGGAATAGTGTCTTGGGGTATTATTCCATGTGGTAGTGACGGTGCGCCATCAGTTTATACCAAGGTATCCAAATTCATTGGCTGGATTGATGAGAACACCAGGGGTTAATATTAATGACTGTAATATTGACAACGTATACATGCGCTGATGACGTATTATTATATTTCTTTCGACGTAAATAAATATGCAGCATAAATAAACAATTAAGCATTTTATTTTGAACCTACATGAAATAAAACTAACCCAAGCAGCCGCTTGTTTGGATGAAGAAAACCTGTACGGTAAAAGTATTACTATTCATGCTTTATTTTATTCAAATTGGACGAAAGTTACAAACGTTATTGTCTTAAATACACATATACAGTCTCAATGACTAAATATTTAAATGTTAATATAAATCTGTAAAATATATACCTTTCTGGAATCAAGTGATTGGGATCTTTTTACTATAAAAGATTGATTAAAGTGAGTAAATTAATTAATTAAACTTTGAACATAAACTGTGGAAAAATAAATTTCTCTTTTAAGCAAACTATTAACCTATGTAGTTGTACATTCTTTATCGGCATATTTAATTTTATAGAAGCTACTTCTTGTCGCAGAAATGGTACAAATTTTATTATATTAAGACATTTAATACTTTATAGACTCATAACATTGCTTAAATTAACAGCGTCGTATCATGTGATTTATATCACTACACATATCAAGTCACAAAGGAGGTCACGTCTGTAACAAATGTCTATAAAAAATATGTAACAAAAACTTTCTTATCGTAGGTGCACGATTAATTCTCGTAGATTAGGATCGATTATCAGTGCATCGTCATAGATATCATCAGAATGCACTCGACAAAACGTATAAAATGCAGCCAATTTATTGATCTGACATTAGTTTCAAAATGTTTCCTAAAGCAATCGTATCGTTTGCTCTCTTGGCAGTGGCAATCGCTGGTAAGACAAATTTCTTCATTTATGTGTAATATGTATCATTTGTATAAACACATTAGATACGCTCAGAAAATGCACATGAAAGTAATACAAAAGTTTTTGTCAAACAATCTCAAATTTATGAATTATAAATAATAATTAAGAGAGAGAGAGAGAGAGAGAGAGAGAGAGAGAGAGAGAGAGAGAGAGAGAGAGAGAGAAGAGCAAGTCTTAGTTTTATTGAATTATAATATTACAGATTTTTTAAATCATATAATCAGAATGTCTTATACCTTTGGCGTGTTACAATCAATGTTTCCTGCCACGAATTTGTTTCTTAAAATATTATTAATTAAAACTTTAGAGAGGCCCCGAGTCGGCCTCCAGATGCCACCAATCTTCCCCCTTTCCCCTCAAGTGGTCGGAGGAGAAGAGGCACCCGAAGGTGGATATCCGTTCATAGTTTCCCTACAAATGCTCTCGCAGCACTTCTGCGCTGGATCCATATTGAACGACAGATGGATCGTAACTGCAGCGCATTGCGTCAAAGCAGTTCCTTCTGTAAATCTTCTTCGCGTCAAAGCTGGAAAACACAATATTCGAATTAAAGAGGACAGCGAACAGACGGTCCAAGTAGAGAGAAGCTTCATACATGAAAAATATGGAAAGTAAGTAAAATATTAAAAAGATTCATTTATTATTATAAATTAAATTAATGGTGAGATTTGTATTATAATTCTTTTAGTCTTAATTTTAACATAAGTGCTTTAAAAAATTGTGTAATTATGCATAAATACGTGTATACCTTTATATTTATATAGGAAAATGATTTTTCTAATTTTCAGCGGTGTTGGCCCATTTGACATTGGTCTGCTTAAGCTTGCATCTCCATTGAAGCTGAATGAGCGAGTGCAGGCTGTCAACTTACCACCAGCGGAAAGTGAACCACAAGGAGAGGCATGGCTCTGTGGATGGGGCTCCACCTCGACTAGCCGACTCCCGAAAATGCCAGATAAACTTCAGCACGTCAAGATGGAGTATATCGATCTCGCTACTTGTTCTGACGCTGTCAAGCGTTTGACAGGATCATCTCCCGTACATGAGACTAATGTCTGCACTGGACCGTTGTACGATCAAATATCCGCTTGCAGTGTAAGTTCGAAACATTTAATAAATTTAGCGAATTGAAAGAACACCGTCTGTGAACAATGTAACATATTAAATTTTTTAAACATATTTTTAGGGTGATTCCGGTGGTCCTCTAATCTCTCGAGTTGAAGGAAAAGCGATACTCACTGGAATAGTATCTTGGGGTATTGTTCCATGTGGTACTGCAGGCGCACCCTCCGTGTACACCAAGGTATCTAAATTCAACGATTGGATTGAACAGAAAGTCAGTGAATATTAATGACGACAAAAGTGACGATGTATCGATGCATACCGATAATGAATTATTGTATTCTTTAACGTACATAAATAAACATGCAGTATAAATAAACAGTGATATTTTTTATTTTAAGCCAACATGGAAGGAAAACTAGGTAGTAATTTATTTGGCTAAAAAAACATGGTATTAATATTTTTGTTTTCATTTTATCCACCATTTAACAGTTACATATGTACAGATAACAATACAACTCTTAGGGCCAGCTTCGCAAACGTCGGTTAACTGCTAACCGAAGGTTAATTGATTCTCTGTGTCTCCTTAGAGCACAAGATAGAAAAAAATAGTGAATTGGCTGAACTCGGGTTAACAGTTAACCGACGTTTGTGAAATTGGCCCTTATTGTCACACATATGTAGCTATCTCCAGTACCACTGACTAATATACAATATACAATGTTCTAATATACCTATATATTTTAAATAGTTAAATGTTAATCCTTTTCTAAAAAAATATCTAAAAAATATCGTAAGCTTTCTAAAAATGTCGAACTTTTTATAAAAAAATTAATATCTGAACAAGATATCTACTGATCTTTTTTATGATGTTATCTCAAAAACTTTACAGGATTCACAAATTTTTGTGTAGAAACAACAAATAGGATAGTTCACTTTACTGTAGCAAAAAGGTGTAGTGATTTGGAAGTATTATAAAATGCAGTTTCATTTTTTAATTTGATATAATTCGTTGGAGACAAACGCAAAAGTGCAACTTTCGTACACTACAAATTTGCACTTCAAATTGTAATAAAATAAATAAGATACAACATATTTATATTTAAGTACATATTCTAATATGTGTATTCTAAATAATTAGTAGTTACTATATATAAAATAAAAACCATTGTGGAATCCAATTAATAGTTACATGAAACAAGAAATTATAACAAATTTAATTATGGAAATTAATTCGGAGTTTTCAAATATATGTAAAGATATATTATGTCTTCCCGGAATGTACGTTATTCAATAATTCGCAAAATTAATTCCTCCAATTTACATTTTTAGCTATACGTTTAAATACAATAGATGCAAAACTGTTGTACTATATAAAGGGTCGATTTCAGATATTAACTGAAACTTTTATACATACAAGGATATACTTATAATAAGGTAATCGTGGGAAAACATTAGTTTTGCGCAGCAATATACAAAACAATCCGCATGTCAAAGTCAAGGATTCCTTCAGGTTTTGTACAATATATAAAATACATTAGCAAATCAGCTGGCTAGAAGAATTTACTATTCCAATCACAATTCTCCAATTTTCCACGCACAGTCGGCAATCCGATTACGACGACTCGATAACTTTCGTAATTACTTGTATCGCGGCAAGTGCTTCCTTGGCTGTCGGAACAATGTAACGGGCCGGAAGTATGAAACCGTATCTTCCAGTATCCCGCAGTTCGATCGTGAACGCGTACTTGATCTTGAGCAGAGCCTTGGCCCAGTCGTCAGAACCGCCGGCAGCAGGATACAATGTTATAGCGCTATTCCCGACAGTGTACTCGGTGTTACCGCCTGCCCTCTTCATGGCATCAGCTGCTTGACGGCCTGCTGTGTCAAGGTCGAGGTAATCTGGCGGTAGACGCTGGTCATATCCCCACGGGTAAAGAATGTACTGACCGTACGAGTGAAAAGACAAATACGCCTGCAAGAGAAATACAACGGAGTGCCATGTGGAATATTTGAAAATTTAACATAAAGTTAATGTATAAATTTGGATTAGCCATAAATTGATTGATACGAAACACACTGCGGCATGTACATACACTTTTCGCGAGATATTTCGAAGTAAAAATTTCGTATGGTCTAGTCCTTATGTTTAGTAACTATTGTGTTTAAAATGTTAATTTGGATAGTTCTTGGTAGCATTGTTGCAACTTGATGTATTTTTCAAAAGCATCACAACCCGAGCAATGCAGACAAATGAATGAAAATTCGTCAAGTTTTATGCAAAGTTGTTTGACTAACTTTGAAATTTGCTAAACTGGCCTCGAAGAAATTTCGGATGGCTTCTGTCTCCGGCTCGGAGAATGGCTTGTTGCCTGGGTAGGTGTCGTGGCACATATTTTTGCTGGTTCCCTTTCCACCCCAGCGATAACCAAAGTTCCTGTTCAAATCTATGCCTGCGCAATTGAAGCCTTTCCTTCTATTCTTCCTCCACAAACGATCGGAAACAAAAGTGTACTCGTATCCATCCGGATTTACAACTGGCAGGATGTAATAGTCCGTCTTTAAATTTTCGCTGTTCTCCACCAAATAGTCAATAATGTAAGTCACAGATGCCGGTGAAATCCATTCCCTGGCATGAATGCCGCCGTCGATCCACATAGCAGGGGCGTCTGGCTTACCGTTACTAATTCTTAAAACCTTAAAACGTTTACAGGACAATTTTGAACAACTCCAACTCTTTATCACTGTGAAAGCATCGCAGTAAAGATTAAACACGATTACCTTAAGAGGACGACCTTCGAGGGACTGACCGATGGTCTGAACGGAGCAGACATCGGGATATGTGTCGGCGAGATAGTCTAAGTAGCCGAGAATGTCGTCTAGTCGATGATAGCTGGTCCATTCCATTCGATGACCTAACGGAGATACCTTCAAGATTATTCAGAGATTGCACGTTCCACGCCCTCGTGCGCCTCTATGATAACCGCTTCGCAGATTCAGCCCGGTGGGGTACAAAGCAAGCATGTTTTCTTTTCGATTATCTCTCATTTTGTAAAATATATTTCAATACGCCTTATATTATGTACATCTGAATACACATGTCGGTCTGAATCGATGAAGCGGATTATGCGCGTATGAAGCTCACCCCTAAAACGCCAAGAACCACCTCCACCATGTACACTAGCGGGATAACGAAGAGGACGAGGACGTGGATATCTACGTCTGACTCCCTGCCACCAAGCGTAACGAGCTAAAAAATGACTGAAAACCTCACTTCGGTGGCGGAAGCGACGTGCCCATGATAATAATTCCCAAACGCTTATATATATTTACTCCAATAGCTCAGTTTACGGTTTCAACGACTTTCCGACGTTTCGAAACCGACGTTTGTAAATGCGGCGCGATTCCTCGCGCGAGTCGAAAACGGAATCGACCTCGTCGAGGCAGTCCGCCCTGAATAACGGCATCGGGAGCAGATCGACCGACTACGCAAACGACCGCAAGAAAAGTCGAAACGTCGTGGAACGCCTGTACGTGCGAAGACTACGTGTGTGTGTTTTGTACACGTCTTACAAGTAAAGTATAACTGTTAATGTTAATCGGCATTGAAGCGGAACCGGGTTACCAAGTGGGATTCACTCGAGGCCGACAACCTCGATTCGTTTCCAACTGTTTCCCTTTGAATATCAACAGAATTGGAAAATACTTGGTAGTAATTGACTAAGGCATTAACGTTCCCTTTTAGAATATATGTGTCCCAGTCTACGATTTTTACGATAGCTCTCACGCATACACACACGTACCGAGTTTCCGTGTACACACAAATACATACATACAATTTGATCGACATAAATTGTACTACATTCTATACACAAAGTCCCGATTATTACTATAATAATTTGGATTTATTATTAGAGGACTAATCGAAACATTTAATTAAAAGAATGGAATGTTGTTACTCGTACTCTGGGAAAAAAAAGTCAGTTACAATCCATTTTGGGGCCCACAATTAGTAATCGAATTATTTAGATTC